CCATTTTCCTCTCGGCGCACCATCTCCGCGCTGTCACTTGATGAAATTACATTCATAAACTTTATAGAGCGTCTCTAAAATTTGGACAAAACATTTCAAATTATTTAAAGCCCCAGTGTGTGATATTTTTACCTGTTTACTATCAAATCTGTTTCCAGTTCACAAACTTGTCCTTTTTCCCTAATATTTCTCACCAACATCAATTCTAAATATTCCTCTCAAATTAAAAATTATACATTTTTAAATACATTAACTGTGGTTGACGCTCCATGGTCATCCACCATCTTAAAATACAGTAGCTGTTTAGGGACATACGAGCTCCACGTTACTCGTTTGGACTATGACTATAACCTGAAAGAACTAGCAGAGGGCAGCATGGAAGCATGGAGTCTGGTAATTCAACTAAGAAATAGAAAAAAACTGACCACATACAGTAGTTGCTGCACTTGTTAGTTTGCCTAATAAACCATTAAATCAAAAGACACATACAATTTGTCAGTTCCTCATCATGTCCAACACAAGAAAGCCACATATGTTCAGATCCCCGTCCGCTATTATCTGGACGCCAGCCTCCGGTTAGTGTCGCTGACTCCCAAACTCACCTGAAGTCATTCATTCGTCTTTTCCTAGTACCAGAACTCCCAACCCAGTCCCAAAGTGTCCATTCCAAAGTCCTTCTACTCAGGGCTGGACTGGGACAAAAATTCAGCCCGGGCATTTTGACTGGAGACCGGCCCATCACCTGTTTTTTTTGGAAAAGACATTAAGCCTTACGCTGTTTCTGACACACACCAACGTACACTTTCTTATTGGTAGTATTTATGTATCAATCTAATAAACGTAAACCTACACCATCCTTCCTATCCTGGTATTCTAAAAAGTAGGGTTGGGGGTAACTGATTATTTTTAAAATGATTATTCTGACGATTATTTTATCGAATAGTCGACTATTCTAATGACTATTTAGATGATTAATCTAGCGATTACTTTTCTATTGCACAATTAATAAAAACCAAAAAATTCTCAAATAAATTCCTCCAAAAAATTGATAAGTCGTTACTGTAAGAGAATAAACACTACAGGCCTTCCATTTTGTATAACACTGCTTTTATTGTGTTGCGGTTGTTTATGTTCTGGTGACGTGTAGAACTTGGGAGTGCAGGCTGCTGCCTGAGAGGTGGTTGGAGATGGCGTGTCTCCATGCTGCTTTGATTTGTTCACTTATGTGCATGAGGCAAGTGGTGTTACGACCCTTCCTGGGGAGTCACGTGTTTCTCCTATTTTAACTGTAAATCCTTCTAGCTGTTATATTTATAACAAGAAACAGATATTCGGACAGAATATTTTCACGTTTATTCGAATATGATTGTGGAACACACCCAGCATCATAATAAATGAAGTAATGTTTATGCCAATTTAAGCCTTTATGGGTGACCAGGACTCTGTGTTCATGAATGTGGAAGACACCCAGCATCCTGTGATGGCACTAATAACATCAAGAGATAATAAATAAGGTAATATTTAGGTCAATTTAACCCTTTACACGTGACCAGGACACTGTAATCAATTTTTGGCAAGGGAAATGATCATTTGTTGCCATTTTTGAAGTGTTTATGAATGTGAAAGACACCCAGCATCCTGTGATGGCACTAATAACATCAAGAAATAATAAATAAAGTAATATTTAGGTAAATGTAACCCTTTACAGGTGACCAGGACACTGTAATCAATTTTTGGCAAGGGAAATTATCTTCTTTTCTTTTTTTTTTTTTGTGTGTGCCATTTTTGGGGTGTTTTTGATGACACAGTAGGCAGTATGAGTACAGTAACATCAACAGATAATACATAAAACCCTTATTTGGTCAATTTTAGCCTCCATGAAAATCTTAGTGATTCAATCACTTTTTGGCAAGTAAAATGCCATTTTAGTTGTCTACAATTAAATCATCAATAAAGAATTTAAAGATATTTTGAGGCATTTCTTATAGGTAAACGGGAGGGTGTAGTCTATTTGGCAAGTGACAATCTTAATTTTATGTGCTGAAGTGCTTTTATCTTGTTACTTTTAAATAGAGCAATGTAATGAATAGCAACTTACACAGTGTCATTGTAAAGCCAAAGCTTGATCATTTTAAATACTTTTTTTCAAGTAAAAATGTGCCCCAAACTAGTTAACTGTGGCTCCATGTCAAGTGGACTAAAGAAAGGAAGGGGAAAAAATTAAATCGCTGGAGAATTGTTTATTTCCATTTATACAACGTTTACATTCAATACAGGGTACCATTTTACATTGTTTATTTATTTTTTTAGTATCAAGGCTGTAACATAAAGAAAGCCAGTTCTTACCACAAAGTTTGTGGCACAAACCATCTTTCAATCGCAAATATTGCAAAAAGGATTAATATATCCTCATTGTGAACGTTTAAGATAAATAGCAACACTTAAAACAACTTCCGAACTGGAAAAACTAATGTGGCAAGGTGCAGAAAGGAGTGCCCGGGCGGGATTCGATCCCCAGACTCCCGAGTGAGAGTCATACGCTCTAACCAGTCAGCCAAAAGGACATCTTTTTGGCCAAGTAGCCAGGGCGCATCATCAATCGGGATATTGTGGATGCTCACACTGCCACATCTTTCTCCCTCTTTCCACAAGCACGTCCTCGTGCTCCCGCGCAGGCTGCCACAAACACTGCCACACTAATATCCGCGATAAACATCTATTTAAGTACCGGAAGAGGTTATCTTTGCTTTCTGAATGTCCATATTGCTAGATATGCTGAGTTTTAGGGCGAAATCCTGGGGAATTTTGTCTAGAAATGCAATTACCTAACCGTGCGCGATCCCGCGGTGGCTAATCATTTTTTGGCAGCGAGTCAATTTATGGCACAACACCGGCTCGGGTTTCTCCTCCTCCTCCCTCTTTTCTTCTCCAACCTGTCGCTGGGCTGAGGCTCCATCACTTCCTAAATTGATTTTACTTGAGCCTTCACTACCAAACAACTGTGAGATTTTAACACATGTGCCAGCATCAGCCTGAAGGGCCAGTTTCTTTTTTTAGTCGAATTTTCTCCGCTCCTCCTTTCCGTTTTTTGTTCTCCATTTTGTTAAGCTCGTCTGTCTGTTTACTGAGATTCACAAACAACTGGCGGGTGCATCAGACCTCTGGCTATTGGTCCAGCCCAGAGTGTATTATTACCAATTGGTCAATCCACCAACTTTTACGAGGCGTCGCGTGGGGCGGCGCGGACAAGTTGTCCGCAACAACTAGAGGCCAGGAAAAAAAAAAAAAAAAAAAAAACAGACACCGGCCCATAAAAGATGAAAGGGTCGGCCCAGCGGGCAGTTGCCCGCTATGCCCTATGGTCAGTCCAGCACTGCTTCTACTCAAGTCTCCTCTCTTCCAGCAGCCTGCCATCTCTCCCAACACGCACCAGCACTCCTCCGCTAGCCAGTGGCTATTCAGCGTTGTTTACTTAATCTCCAACACTTTACTTACAGTGATGTAGTTTTCCACGTGTTACAGAGATGATGCGCTTCTCCGACTAAGAGGGCTTCTCTCAAACGTTAACTTTGGACTTGGGTCTCCTTTGACTGGTAATTCGTGGGAGTTTACGCGCAGCATACATAGCGTCTCCCAAGCTCTAGCGCTAACTAACTAGTAGCGTGTGACGCCCATCTCCACCACGCCAGCCGTGAGCCACGATTACCTGGTGGATAAGACAGCATTGATTACTTGATCTCCACAGCGTGTCCCCGGCTCACCAACCCTTCTTCATCAGCCATGGTTAACAAGCAGCCACTGATCGCTCCATATTCCGCTTTTATTCCGGAACTGCGCTGCTCTGGCTGGCTGCACGTTGAAGTAGCTCTGTTGACTATATGTAAGTTTAGCCTTTTCTTGGACATTTTTTTCTTCTAGTTTCTCAAGAAAAAAAAAAAATTATATATATATATATATATATATATATATATATATATATATATATATTTTTTTTTTTACTTTTCTTTTTCTGGTGCTGTGAAGCTTGGAGGATTTTTACTGCTATTTGTTCACTTTTTTCACTTTTTGAGCCTTTGTTATGATGCGTAACCATGGCAACAAGCTGGTTTACAATCGGGAGCAGCTGATTAACATTGGAAAGGCTGAAATAATACCTCAACTGAAGCCACAAATCCCAAATAAGCTAAAACGCAAGAAGCGTGGGTGCAGAGCGGGAGCAAAACGGAGACAGAAAAAGAGGAAATTCAAACCATCTCTTCCATCGATCATAATGGGAAATGTGAGATCACTGGCCAACAAGATGGAGAAACTCCAAGCCCTTTCAAGGACACAGCCAGAGTTTTGGCAGTACAGTGTTATGTGTTTCACTGAGACGTGGCTGCAGGACCATATCCCCGATTCCAGCGTCTCTCTGCCAGGATTCCTGACTGTCTGAGGACATATGGATAGAAAAACCACAAGCATGACATTATTACATTACATTACAAAATGTTACCATAAAAGTTTATCGCAAATGTTGTGAAAATAGCCTGAAGAGCGATCTCCCGACACGGGGGGACAGAATTTTTCAGGGGAACACTGTTTCTCACAACACCTGACCTCCCGTCTGGCGTCACCCCTCCTCCGTGTGTGAATCGTGACCGCTTCAAGACCTAACAGAACTAACTTGCTTCCTTCAGAACTGGTAGGTTGATAGTCATAATTATAAATGCTTTTTGAAAGTGGTCGAGTAGCTAGTTTTAAGCTTTGTGTGGGTTAGGCTACACAGGTTGGAAATTGATTATACAGTCAAACTCATGAGTGAGCCACCGTAGCTGAAAAACTGTCTCTGAACTGCACAGCGCTAAAGAGTCGCTTTTTTTCATCATGATTTCAATGGATTTCACACATGGCGCCTTTAAGTAAACCTGAAAATTTAACCATTCTTACATTTTATACATTAAATTACCTTTATGTATCTTATTTATATTTTTCTAATCCTTGTGTCCTACATGCACAGTTTTTTTCATGACGGTATTGGAACTGACACCATTGCTATTTTTTAACACCGGCTGTATACGGTAATACGGTAATACTGCACAAGCCTAACTGAGATAATTGTTTAAGCTCTAGCTTACAGTTTAAAAACAATATTTAGTGTTACTTTAACTCATGTTAATGACTTAATTTGTTGCTGCATGTTCAAGTATTCATTTTCCTTACATATTAAGTTTAAATGAGCTATTTGTTGCGCAAGATACGTGATGATTGTTTGCAGGTGTGTAGGATGGACCTTTAACCTCACATCCTGTGACTCTGGTTCTAAGAAAACACAAACCGTCAAACTGGGATGTAATGATTTCACTTTTCAGCTACAGAAGAAGGTGTAGACATGTGGTCTATCTTTTAAAAGTCGGTGATTTTACTCTGTTAACTCCACCGGTGTTGGGTGGGCCTCTTAAGGGGGACCTGAGAAGATAGAAGCTAAGTGGTTGTAGATAAACAACAAGGCTTGATAATAGGAGAACTGCTATTTAGGGCTTGTGATGTTACAACTCCTCACGATTCCGGACTTTCTCTGAATTAGAGGTTTTCAGACCTAAAAATGCTCCAGGAACACTCCAGACACCTGTCAGGAAGAAATAAGAATCTTTAATCCAGTTCTTCTTCACAAATGTTCTTAGAGTTGTCTTTTTTAGCTATTTTCCTCTGAAACCTATCTTCCATAAGAAGGTAGCCGTTTGCCTCAACCTCAGACTTCTGCTTTAATAGTCACAGAGTGCCTCTGCAACACCGGCTGCTTTTGTTTTGGTTACAGATAAAATCACACAAGAAAAACACCAAAGCAGCACAAAAAAAAGTAAAAAAAAAATATGAAAGAAACGGAGAGTCGGTGGAGAAGTTGGAAAGTAGTCCAAATAATTGAGTGTGAATTTTACAAAAAACAACAGACACACTCAAAGTGCAGGAAGGTTTGTCTGTCTTCTCTTTTTATGTCTGGAACAAGACACACTTTGAGATAACGAGGAGATAGTAAAAGAGTGATGAAGCAGAGCAGAAACTCTCCCCTTAGCCCAGATAGCACAAATCAAGACTCTTCCTCTGGTAGAATTTCCTTTATCTGGGCTGAAGGCAGGATCTGACCCTTCCTCCCGTTCCCACCTCACCTCGTTTGATCTCAGGCTGGTGCCACCGATCTCCCTCACCCTGGCGTGTGATTCATGCCTGGACATATGGAGGCGATCACAGCGCCTGTTGCTGAGAGTTCTCCTTGGGATTTCTGACTACCTGACAGACGGAGAGAGCTTCAGTCCAACGTCTGGATGAGGGGCGGACAAATGCAGGGAAAGAGATAGGGATAGAGGGGGAGGTGAGAGGAAAAGAGGAGGAGAAATGAAGGAGAAAAAAATGACTGCACGCCACGACTGGACTGCCTCCTTTTCCCCCTCAACCTCACTAAACTTTATCCTCCCTCCTCCTCCTCCTCTTCCTCCTGCGTGTGTGTCCGTTTGTGTGTGTTTAAAATGATTTGGGGAGAAGAGAGGGACACGCATTCGGAGTTTGGCTGACGGTGCAGGCAGGAGCGTCACACAGGAGCCTGAGGGGCTGCAGACTGAGGCTAAAGAGGACTGGAGAGGTTTAGATCTGATTCTCAGAGTCAACAGTGATTGACAGGCAAGCAGAAGGAAAGATAAGGAAGAATAGATTACACAGAGTCCTGGAAAAGCCTAAAATAACAGAAACAAGAGTGTATGAGGAGCAAAGACAGAGCCAGATATGCTGATTTGTGTCTAGAAGTCAGGAAGGCAGGAAAACATTTTCAGACTGGAGGTTTCTTTTTTTTTTTTGGAGACAAAAAAGGAGCAGATGGACAGAAGTGCTTTTCGTTTTTGAAGAGAGACTCTTCATCCACATCTAGCAATGCTTTTGAGAAACTCTGATCTGAGTTACGCCAAGGACGTGGATGAAAACAGGATTGTTCTATAATCAGTTTCTCTTAGGAAGTAGACCCGCATCATTATTTTTTTTAGTATTTAACGTCCATCAGCAGAGGTTCTGTGCTGATGTCCACTATGTTCTCTCCAAAGTACTCTTTAATAGCATCTTGGACTACTTGTCTTCAGGTTTTGTGCATCGTGACCGCCTGGACCTCAGCCTGGCCACAGCAAACACAGCTGCAGCCGCGCCGGTCCAGACAGATGTTGCCTCCGTCGTCCTCGGGAAACCTGTCAGAGAGCGCCGAGAGCAAAGTGGAGCGCCTTGGCCTGGCGTTCAAGCAGAACGTCCGGGAGCTGCGCGAGAAGAGCTCCTGCTTGGACCTGGTCTTCCTGGTGGACGAGTCATCCAGCGTGGGTGCCAACAACTTTCAGAGCGAGCTGAGGTTCGTACGCAAGATGCTGTCTGACTTCCCCGTGGCGCCAGAGAACACTAGGGTGGCACTGGTGACCTTCTCCTCCAAGACGCACGTGGTGACGAGGGTGGACCACATCTCAGCACCGAAGTCCCATCAGCACAAGTGCTCCCTGTTCAACCAGGAGATCCCAGCCATCAACTATAAAGGGGGGGGCACCTACACTAAAGGAGCTTTCCAGAGGGCAGCGGTGAGTCACGCTGTTCAGGAATGTCTACCGTGTCGGTAATTTGTTTGCTCTTGCAGAACTATTTGTTTTATGTGTGACTTCTGTGTGTGTGTTAGTCCGGAGGCTGTTGTGTGTGTATGGTGTGTGTGTGTGCACATGTGCAAGGAGTAATTACGGCATGGAAAGGTAGATGTTAATGAGGCCCTGCATGGCTCTGCTGTTGCTGCAGCTTCCTCCAAATTACACAGCAGCAGACAGTTGAGGGGAAGCTGCATGCTGGGTAATTGTTCAGGGGTTTCCAGTGATGAAAATACCAGAACGACTCAGCCGATTTATGTGTCTCATCATACGCACTGAGGCGCGTCCTATTTCATGAAGAAAAACATAATCTCAGAAAGAAACTTAAAGGTGGAAGAGATGCTGAGAAACTGAGTGAGAAGTTTATTTTATTTTGACTGTGAAACAGAAGCAATTCAGTCTTTTGTTGTGAAGGCGAGAATTTGATCAAAATGTTTGTTATTTTGGGTGTTGGTGGGCACCACCGCTCAGGAAAACGCTCTTTCAAACACTCTTTCAAGCTAGACATATGGTGCAGTTCATCTGTCATCCAAACGGCCCAGCTGTAAAAGCTGTGTTGGTGGTACAGGGGCTGGTCCTGTGTAAACACACACACGCACGCACACACACATGTTGGCTGCATTCACCGTAGAGTAAAACCTTCACTGACTCACATGCAGTCACATTTAAAATAAAAGCAAACCACAAAAATCTGTCAAACCGTGTTTACATCTGGAATATTATCAAGGTTTTGCTGACTAAATCACAGATAAGCCCAGTTTTTGTTTCTTAGCTGAAAGCTTTGGACTAAATCCTCCAATTAAACACTCAAATCTTGGCCCCCAGGACAAGATTTCAGCGCGCTAAGTGCTGATAAGCCCTCAGCTGGCTGTGTCCTAGTCACTAAAGACCACATTTACAACAAAAAGCTTTCTGGGCAATCTTATCATTTTTTAGAAACAGTCCAAACGCTCTAGGTGATTTATCACGTGACATATTTGTAGTCTCGAGGTGACTTTTACAGAAATCTGAGTGCATTCTCCTGAGGCACTTACGTTGGCTGTGTTAACTCTAATCGAGTTGCTTTTCACGTATCTGTCCCATCAAACTCGTCTGTAATTGTGTTTAATGTAGCATGTATGACTGGGTGGTATTTGTTTTTGGATACCATTAAACTTGATATAAAATTGAACGCTTTGCCTGGACTTGCCTGTCAGTTAGCCTTGTTGCTGCAGGTAATTTTACAGTATTTTTAAGGCTCCTGATAGATTTTTAACCTGCGTGTCTTAGATTAGACATGCAAATTTATTTTTATTGACATTTAATTGCAAAGCAAAGTTATAAAACAATAAATACATAAATAATAGTTCACATAAAATGGTTAGGAGCATTACAGACCTACAGAACGTGAGCCTATTAGTCATTTTCCTTCTCATTCTTCCGTAACACACAACCCCACCAGCATTCAATTGTGAAACACTGCCCACATTTATATATTTCAGATCTTTTGTCAGGTCTATAATATTGTTTTCTAATGGCCACCAATTATTTAATGTTTAAGGAAAAACTCTTGATTGTGCATGGGGAAAGTACTGACTGCAGCAACTCTGATACCAAAAAGACAATTCAGTTCAATTCAGTTTTATTTATATAGCGCCAAATCACGACAAGAGTCATCTCATGGCACTTCACATAATAAATATTCCAATTCAGGTCAATTCATTAAGCCAATCAGAAAAAATGTTTCCTATATAAGGAACCCAGCAAATTGCATCAAGTCACTGACTAGTGTCTGTCTTTACAGCAATCCTCATACTAAGCAAGCATGTAGCGACAGTGGAGAGGAAAAGTCCCTTTTAACAGGAAGAAACCTCCAGTGGATCCTGGCTCAGTATAAGCAGCCATCCTCCACGACTCACTGGGGATCGAGAAGACAGAGCAGACACACGCACGCACGCACACACACACACACACACACACCAAGCAATGTGTCTATGGTTACATTGTGATTTCTTAGTAAATATTCTATTTGGCGAGAGATAAACTTTATTGTTTTATCCTAGTGAATCTATAATTAAACTGGTGAACTAGCAGTAGCACATCCAATGTCAAGGAAAGCAAAAAGTTAGTATCAAGAGAAGGAGAATTTTTAAGTGGTTAGCAGCAGTGTGCTAGATGATGGCCCCCTCCATGAGGCCACCACAGCTCAGCAGAACATCATTGTAGCTTCTTCTGGGGAGAAAAAACTTAGAGAAAAAATAAAGTTAACATCTGAAATTGCAGAAAATAATACAAAGAGCAGATTGTAGAAGAAAGAAGTAGAGATTTTAACCACAGGCCCTATCAAATAAAAATGTTTTAAGCCTAGTCTTAAAAGTAGACAAGGTGTCTGCCTCACGGGCTAAGGCTGGGAGCTGGTTCCACAGGAGAGGAGCCTGATAACTAAACGATCTGCCTCCCATCCTAATTTTAGATATTCTGGGAACCACCAGTAAACCTGCAGTCTGAGAGTGAAGTGCTCAGTTAGGAATGTATGGAACAATCAGATCACTGT